AGGAGGAGGAGGAGGAGGAGGTGGAAGCGACGCCCCGGCCGCGGCTTCGCCCCTGCAGCTGCCCCTGTGCCACCCCGCTCCTTGCGTCCAAGGGGGTGGTGTGGAGGGGGGAGGAGGACTACAGGTGTTTAGTGGTGTGGATGCGTGTATGTGTTTGTGTGTGCGTGTGCTTGTAAACACGCGCGCGGTTGCCGTTCCACGGCTCTCTCTGCCCTGTCGCTGCGCGCAGGGTCGCGACGCCCAAACAGAAAAAGTTTGTGTGTGTGTGCGTGTGTGCGGGTGTGTCTGTAGGTGTGTGTGTGTGTGGTTAGCTGTGTGTGTGTGTGTGTGTGTCTGTGTGTGTGTGTGTGCGTGTGTGTGCGTGTGCGTGTAAATGTGTGTTTGTGTGTTTGTGTGTGTGTGTGGGTGCGCGCGCGTGTGTGTGTGTGTGTGTGTGTGTGTGGTGTGTGTGTGTGTGTGTGTGTTTAGGTGTGTGTGTGTGTACGTGTATGCGTGTGTGTGTGTGTGTTTGTGTGTGTGCGCGCGTGTGTGTGTGTGTGTGTGTGTGTGTGTGTGTATGCGTGTATGCGTGTGTGTGTGTAGGCTGTGCATGTGTGTATGTCTGTTTATGTGTGATGGTGCGTGTGTATTGTTAGTTGTGTGTGTATGTATGCATGTGTGTGCGCGTGTGTGCGTGTATGCGCGTGTGTGTGTGCGCGTGTGTGTGTGTGTGTATGTGTGTGTGTGTGTGTGTTTGTCTGTTTGTGTGTTGTGTGTTGCGTGTTGTGTGTGTGCTGTGTGTGCGGGTCTTCGCCCCCGGTACCAGTCCGCGGCGCACCTGCTCCTGCACATCCACTTCGGCACCGCCTGCACCCCGGGCTTCGCCCGCTCCGGCCGCCTGAAGCCCCGCCTTCCTGTGCCCTGTCTCCCTAATTACAGCTGTGCGTAGCCCGCCGTGTGTGTGTGTGTGTGTGTGTGTCTGTGTGTGTGTGTGTGTGTGTGGGAGTGGGTGTCACTGCACTGGGCCATCCCTTCTTCTGTCCTCCTCTCGTGCACTGAGCCATGATGCGCGATCCCCCCTCCTCCCCCCCACCCCCCTCCCCTGCGGCGCGCCTGGCCCGCGCGCGGCTGGTCGCCCGCCAGGAGCGTGTGCGCCGCGCTGTGCTTCCTGGTCAGCGCCTTCCTGGAGCTCAGGCCCCCCGCACGCCCGCGCGGGCGGGGGGGCGCCGCGCTGGGCCCCTGGGAGGCTCCCCGCCAGGCCGTCGGAGGCCTCCAGGCGCCATCGGAGGCAGTCGGCGGGGGGTTCTCCGGTGGAGTGGCGCGGAGGGTTCGAGATCACCGTGCCGTGTCTCACGATCAGAGAAGGAAGAGGCATCCAGGTACCCTTACCTCTACCCTCCCCTCGTTTTCCCCCCTGTTGGGCCTCCTGGGAGGCCCTCGTCGCCACCGCTGGATTCACCTCGAAATCCTGGTCAGGGCGCACCCTGGGAGAGGGCTGGGGCGTAGTGGTACCTTTTGGTCTCCCCACTGTCGATTGATCCGATGGCAGTGCACGAGACGCCTGGATCAAATCCAAGGTGACTCTGGGTCAGTGGTTGCTTCGGTCAGTGTCGGTGGCCAACGTTGTACTATTGTCGGAAAAGGCCGTACGGCCGGTGCCGCCGACCCTGAAGGGGGACGACGACGACGACGAGGAGAACGACGACAACGTCGACGACGGCGGCGGCGGCGGCGACGACGACGACGACGACGTCGATGACGATGACGACGACATCTTCGACGACGACGGCGACGACGATGACGACGACGACGACGAAAAAGACGATGACGACGACGACGATGACGGCAGCGGCGGCGACGACGACGACGACGAGGACGGCGCCGGCGGCGGTGGCGGCGGCGGTGGCGGCGGAGGCGGCGGCGGCAACGCCGACGCTAATGCTTGGGAGCCCTTCTTGGGGTTCTCTTTGGAGCCTAGTGGGCTCTGTTGGGGGGCCTCTTGGGTGACTTCTTGGGAAGCTGCGTGGCCCTGGAGAAGAGGGGGATGGCAGTTCCCCTGTCCACAATGGGGAAAAGAGCTTGTTTTTTTTGGATTCAGGCAAGTTCACTTGCATGGCGTCCGCCCCCCCCCCCCCCCTCTCGCCCCTCTTCAAGCGAATACTAGCGTGCAAGTGCCATTCGACTTGCGTGATTTCCGCGCCCCGCCGCCCCGGGCTTGCTTCAGGCTCAGCCCCTCCCCCCCCCCGTCCATGCAAGTAAACTTGCCAGAGTCTAAAAAAAAAAGACAGGCTCAAAGGGGGGAGGGGTCCTGAGCCCCGGGGGGGAGGTCACGACCCTGGGGCCGCCCCCGGGACCCCCCAGAGGACCCCCCCCCTCCTTGGGTGACCGGGGGGTGGAGCATGAGCATCCGGTTTGCAGGAGAGAAAGAGAGAGAGAGAGAGAGAGAGAGAGAAAGAGAGAGAGAGAAAGAGAGAGAGAGAGAATCAGGAGCACGAGCGACGAAGAGCCAGGAAAAGGGCAAGGGCGAGGCGCAGACGCGAGGACGCGGCACATGATACACCACCATCATGGCAAGCCAGGACGCTGCCCTGGCCTCGGCCAGGAGGGCGAAAGCACTGCGTTGGGTCCAGGGTTGCCCAGCGTTGCTCGTGGCTGAAGCTTGGCCGGGGTTTGAGGGCCGCTTTTGCGAGATGCTCCGCCTTGACGACGCCACTTTCCAGCGACCCCGGAGCTGAGGGCGTCCTCGGTGCCGGTGCACCGAACCCAGCTGCGCAAGCGAGCGATCCTCCCTGCCGCAGATTCAGAGGGCCGAGCTGAAGCCTCCCAGTGGCGACGGTCCCCAGATTTCTCGCCACAGCGGGCGTCAAGGGGGGGCACAATCCTCCTCCTCCTCCTCCTCCTCCTCCTCCTCCTCCTCCTCCTCCTCCTCCTCCTAGGGGGATGGACGGCATCATCGGTCTACGTGCATGCTTCGCCCGCGCGGCCAAGGGGGACGCCGACCCACAGTGGACGTGGACCTGCACCGTCAGGGGGGGGGCGTCCGACCCCGCAGTCGACGTCAACCGTCGATGCCGAGCGCCAGGATGGGGCGGCAAAGTGGCGCGTGAACTTGGCTTCCTCCGGGCAGGTCGCATCCTGACTTCTGATACGTGGGAGACGTTGGCCCTGTTCCCTCTTCTTTTCCCTCTTGCTCCCCTCCCCCCCCTTTCCTCCGCTTCCTCGTCGTGCTACCCCGCCGGTGCCAGCGCGAAGGCACATCAGAGCCCTCGTCCTCCTCCCCCTCCCTTCCATTCCACCCTCGTCCCTTTTCCGCTTCGTCCTCGTCCCTCCTCCCTCCTCGTCCTGCACCCCCCGTGCTCTAAGAGACCCGCCAAGCGTGTTTTTCCTCCGCGCGAGATGTAGTTCCGTGCTATGACGGGACACGGGGTTCTCTGGAGCTCCGCTCCGTCCCTCGCGACCTGCCTTCCCTCCTCGTCCTACCCCCCGTGCTCCATGGGCCTCCCTGCGGGCTTCTCCTCCGAGCCAGGTGTAGTTTTAAATCGGGCACCTCCCTCTACAGGAGGAAGCTTCAAAATTGTTTTTGTGTGTAAAAAAAGCAGGGGACGATGTTTGACAAGTCTTGACTATTTGTGGAGTATGCTTGGACTCTTTGTTCTTTCTTCCCGTCCAGAATCCGCCTGTCGAGGGACAGGCCCGACCTAAGTGTAATTCCGTAGCTCCGGTCAGGAGGGGAAAAACACACAGACACAATTAATCGTCGATCCCCATGAAGATATGGGAAATATGGGAAGTGGGGGGGAAGACAAAAACCCAGAAGATACGGGAAAACATGGGGAATCGTTCTATTTGTGTGTATCTATTTGTGTGCCCCAGGGCACCTCCAGACAGCGGCGCCGTGCCGAGGAGGCGGAGGAGGAGGAGGAGGCGGAGTTACGCGAAGCGAGACCGCGAGTGGCCCGCAGCGTCGGGAGGCGGAGGAGGAGGAGGAGGAGGAGGAGGAGGGGGAGGAGGAGGAGGGGGAGGAGGACGAGGGGGCCGTAGCTCCGACAGGACAAGGGTTCCCCTCCGTCCGTCCCGGACGCCCCGATGGCGGCCTGGCCGCGGCGGCGGCATTCGTCTCCGCCTCGCGGGCGGCGGGCGGCTCCGCGGCGAGGCGGCGCCGCGGGGGCCCCCCTGGGAAACGGCCTGGCGACGGGCGCCGCGGCAGCCGCAGCACCGGCCGCAGCGAGGGCGGCAGCCCGGCCGCCTCGCTCGCGCTACAAGAGTTCGGCGCCGCTCCAGGACGGCTCAACTGGCCTCCTAGATCGCCTCACGACGGCCCAAGAGGGCCTCAAGTCGGCCCCAAGACGGCCCAATGGAGCTCCAGGACGGCCCAGGGGGGGCGCAAGAAGACCCCCAGATGCCCCGCTCCTCGCCGTGCCCTCCAGGGGCAGCAGGGGTCCTGCGCGCAGCGCCCGTGCCCCCCTCTTTTCCTCCTCCCCGGTCGGCCCAGCGACCTCGGCGGCTCCTGCGTCGATCCGGCGTGGCCGAAGCGCGGCGGCGCCCCGCGCGCCCGCGGCCGCGCGCCCGTCATTAGCGCGGGGAGGGGGACCCCCACCCAGGGGCACGGGCAACGCACGCAGAGGCTCCCGCCGAAGAGGGAGGGGGGGGAGGACGCCGCCAGGGTTCTTCCTCCTCCTCGGCTTCCCCTCCTCTTCCTCCTCGTCCTCCTCGTCTACCTTCGCTCGCCGTGACATGTTCTCGCTGCGTGCTGACGCGCTTGGGACATGTTACTGAAGCCGGGTTTTTTTCCCTGAGCTCGCGCCGCGCGGGAGACAAAAAAACAGGAATCTCGCCCTGCCTCCCCCCCTCCTCCTCCTCCGCCTCCTCCTCCTCCTCCTCCTCCTCCTCTTCCTCCCCCTCGTTCCTCCTCGTTCCTTCTCCTTCTTCCTTCTCCTCCTCCTCCTCCTCCTCCTCCTCCCCCTCCTCCTCCATGCTCCTCCTCCATGCTCCTCCTCGCTCCTCCATGCTCCTCCTCGCTCTTCCTCTCTCCTCCTCGTTCATCCGCCCCCGCAGGCGTGCGCCGCCGGGCAGCCTGCGAGACGCGGAGCGCTCGTCGCTGCGGTGGGCCCGCCCCAGCGGGGGGGAGGGAGGCCCGACCTCCAACGCAGACCTCCAACGCAGGGGGGGAGGATTAGGAATGGGGGGCAAGGGTCAGGGTATGATCCCTTCTCCCCCTTCCCTTCTTCTCCACCTCCCTCCTCTTCTCCACCTCCCTCCTCCCTCCTCCCTCGACCTCCCTGCAGAGCTCTCCTCCTACGAAACGGTTACCCTGGGCGCGAGCGCGGGCGCCATCGCCGCCCGCCACCAGCCTTGCAACGCCTGGATTTGCATCGATGCGGGATCAAGGGAAGTCCCGACCAGGGTGCGATCTAAACGGTGCCTTGGCGATCTCGTGGACGTGCTTTCATTTGGATTCCGTTTTGCAGCAAAGGCGGAAGGACGACAGAGCGAGGGACAAGCGAAAACAGGACGCAAGCGGAAAGCACTGCTTACCTCGCGCCCTGGTTCCGACCCGTTCCCCAGGGTCTGCTCTTTGGTTCAAGCCGATGTTTGGCGGCCCCAGTGCCCGGCGGAACCATCCACGGAGGCCGAAAACAGCGAACAACATTCCCGAGCCGATCTCTTACAGTCAGACCTACGACCGAAGAGCCTCCAGGGCCCCCCAAAACCACGCGCGGTGACGGATCGCGCGGTGAGGTCGATGGAGATTCTGAGGCCACCGTTTGCCACACGGTTTGGGGCCCCCGAAATCCCCGCCCCCGCTTCTCTTCGCCGCACCCCCCCCCCTCCCGCCTTTTGCCCGCCGAGGCTGGCGGCCGCGGCGCTGGCGCGGCACCCGCTCTTCGAGGAGCGGGGTCCCTAGTTCGTCCATGATGGGTCTGTTTCCCACCACCACCAGCATAAGTTGGAGGGGGCAAGGAGGAGGAGGAGGAGGAGGGGGAGGAGGAGGAGGAGGTGGAGGAGGACCCCCTCCCCCTCCAACGTATGGTGGTAGTGGTGGGAAAAAGGCCCATCAGCCCATCCCTCAGATTGTGCCTGCCACTCCTGGGACTCTGGGCGAGAAGTATCGGTGGTTTGCTGTCGTTACCCCAGTGGTGATCCAGCCTGACCATCCAGCCTGGCCTGGCCGAATCCTCGGCCGGCCGTCTGGTTCGGCCCAGATCTGGCGCAACGGTTTCTCAGTTCGGCCCGTGAGATTGCAGTCGCGCCCGCGATCCCCCAGGAGTGGCTGACAGGCGCAGGCCAGCCGATCCTGCCCCACCCCCACTTTCGGATGCAACTCCTGGGAGGTCAAATTCTGATTTTGCCCTGGTCCGAAGTCCGGCTTAATCCGGTTTAATCTGGCTTAATGCCGCTCAATCCGGCTCAATCCCGCTCAATTCCGCTTAGTCCGGCTAACTCCTGCTCAGTCCGAGGCCCACTCCGGCGCAACAGCTCCCAAATGGGGCTTAATCCTCCTTTCGGGGGAGCGTAAGACCCGGGTTTGCCAGGACTCGGGTTCGCCATCGTTTTTTGACGACCTCGCCTGGGATTTTGACGAGGAGGAGTTTCGTGGGATGTCTGCAGCGGGAGGCCTCGTCAAAATGCAGGCTCGGCCTCGTCATTTTTTTGACGACCTCGTCGGGGATTTCCGAGTCCCCTGTACCCAGGTCTTACGTCCCCCTGATCCTTAATCTTTCCGACGGAAACCTCCCAGTAGTTGCCTCCTAACCCACTCCTCGCGGTGCTCGCGGCGGCGAGCTCCCTCCCCGCCCCGCCCGCGCCCGCCCGCTCCGCGTGCGCGCGCGCGAGCCCGCCGCCGGCCTCTCAGGTGCGACGCGCCGACGGAGGGCGCCGACGGAGGCGCCCGCGCCGCCCCCAGGGGGGCGCCCGAGTTGTCCGGGATAACTCGGGTCCGGGGTACGGTAGGTTTGCGTCGTGTCGACCAGCGGCGACCCCAGCGCGGGCGTTCAAGGTTGAACGCCGCCGGCGACCCAGAATCGATCGATGTGGAACGATTGGACGTTGCGGAGACGGCCGATCGTTCAAGGTTGAACGATCCCTGCGGTGTCAAAAACCAAGGCTGGGGTCGGCACGACACGAACCTGCCGTAACTCGGGTTTGGCTTCCCGAAAAAGGAACCCGAGTTATCCCTGACCCGAGTTACCCCTGATGATTCGGGGCTCTTGGACGCCCGATCTATCCGGGGTAACTCGGGTCCGGGGTAACTCGGGTTTGGATTCCCGAAAAAGGAACCCGAGTTATCCCTGACCCGAGTTACCCCTGATGATTCGGGGCTCTTGGACGCCCGATCTATCCGGGGTAACTCGGGTCTGGGGTAACTCGGGTTTGGATTCCCGAAAAAGGAACCCGAGTTATCCCTGACCCGAGTTACCCCTGATGATTCGGGGCTCTGACCCATGGGGGCTCTGGGCCACCCAGCGCGTGCCGCTGCTCGCCAAGGCGCCTCTTCGCAAGCGTCCGAGAAAAACACTTCTTTTTCCCAACCATCCTGTGGTGTTGGGTCCTCGTTTTGAAGAGACGGTGCCCCGCGTCTCCTTCCTCCTTCCTCCTTCCTCCTCCTCCGAGAAAACACTTCTTTTTTTGGGGGTCTGCGGGTCGAGAGCGAGCCTCTTCCGGTCAAGAGCTGGGCGGGCCGCGCAAAGCACTCATTGGGGAGACGGGGCGCGGGCGGGCGGGGCCTCGGGCGGCCGGAGGGCGCGGGCCTCCGGCGGCCGGCGGCCGAGAAAAACACATCTGTTCGCCTCGGTGCAATCTCTCGCAGGTCCCCCGCGGGGGGCCCAGGCCATTTGCGAGCCAGCTGCGTGGCGAGTCGCGGAACGCGCAGTCCTCAGCTGGAGGCCTCGTGGGAGCCTCTTCGCTCCGTGCCTCGGGCCTCGCGGGCTGGAGCCCTGGGTCCTCGGCATCGCTCGGACGTGTGCATGTTTCCTTCGGCGAGGGCCATCGGGGAGCATCCTTGATCATTTGGCGAAAAAACCACGCACGAAACCGACAAAAAGCACAGAGAATGGGCGTCCGAGCGATGGCCAGTAGGCCGTGGCCCCCCGCGGATGCGGCTGCGGGGCGTCCTGGCGTGACTGCCCCGCGCGGCACGCAGCCGTGCAGCTGGCGTATCCGCGCGATCGCGAGGTCCCCGGGGGGCTTCTGGAGGCCTCGATCTCGAGGGGGCCTTCACCACCCACCAAACCACCCCAATCCAACCCGAAGGCCTCAATTTGCCCTCCATTTCCAGTTGGGGGGGGTCGGGGAACATCGAAAAAACACGTATGGAACCCTTACCCCCCCCAACCCGAAATTCGGGTCTTCGGGTTGGGTTGGGGTGGTTTGGTAGGTAGTCAGCCCTCCGCTGCCAGAGGGCGAGCAAGAGCAGCTCCGTATCCGAGGAGGCTATTCGTTTGCAGGGGGGCTCGAGGATCGAGACCCTCGAGGATCGAGAGACTCGAGGGTCGAGGCCCCCCAAGGCAGGAGCATCGGCACGGGCATGAAGCTGTACGGAGGCCCGTGCAGATTTCTTGGGTCGGCGCTGGACTCCTCCCGGGCCGCGCGGAGCGCGCCAGGGGCAGCGCCAGAGGCGCCGCCGTGGGAGGTCCAGCGCCAGTCCGAGAAATTCCAGCGGACCTCCGGAAGCCTATGCACGTGGAGAGAGATTCGGAGATCGGATTGTTTTGTCGAGCCCTTCCTGGGCCTCCTCGTCGCCACGCCCGGTCCCGCCTCGAGATTCCTGCTGCCGCTCCTCTGCAGTTGCTCGGTGATGCTCATGCCGGTCTTCTCCTCGTGGGCGGAGGTCCGTAGCCGCGGCCTCGCAGGCCGGACCCCTGGGCCGCGACCGCGCGGATGCAGGGCGCGTTGCCGCGGATGCCCCGCGCTGATGGTACCCGTGCGACCGCATATCCTTGGGATGGCGCCGCGGAGTCCAGACCGCAAGGGCGTGGATGCAGATATGTTCGCCACTCGTGAGATGCCTCCTCCTCCTCCTCCTCCTCCTCCTCCTCCTCCTCAGCAAGAGAGGGCGACAGTTATCATCGGAGCTGATGGTGTCCACAGCGGCAGGAGGCTTTTGGACCAGAGCCGGGAGTCACGATGCCCACCTTTGTGCGAGCGACATCTGCGAGCGGTGCCAGTCCAGCCGCGAAACGAAACGGCTTCGCACCGCTGTGGGACCCGTTGCAGAAATGAGGCCTCGCCTGCGTATGTTCAGTCAGCATCGTTGCTTCAAGAGGCTGTCGCCAACTCTGAAGCCTACCCTTCAGTCGGGCCTGTCCCCTTACAGGGGGATTTTCGACGAAAAATAAAAAAAGATATACCAAAAATTAGCCAGACGAAGGACCCAACCATATGCAGGTGTGAGTACCGCAATTGTGATTCCCTTTTTCGGTGGTGATCCCTATGGGGCAACGAACCGCGCTAGGGGTGTGCCGAAATGAATGGCGTGGTACACAACGCGAACGAAAACGATTGATCTGAGTACGTAGGGAGACTGAGCGCGGGTGAATCTGAGCGCGAGTGCGTCTGACTGTGAATGAATCTGCGTGCGAACGAGTCTACGTGCATGAATGCGAGTATGCCAATGTATGGTGCAATTGTATATGAATGTTAATAGTTTGTAAATGACTGCCTCTGAGTCTACGCTGGGCGTGGCCGCCGCAAGGAACTTCCCCGGGACTCCCCGACGGCATCGCCCGCGCGCCGCGACGCCACCCCGAGGATCGCGCCCGCTTCCTCCCCTTATTTTACTCCCTCTTTGCCCGCGCACTCAAAAGTCGAAGGCTGCGGGCGCAGCGCAGCGCGGAGTCCCAGCGACGCGCGCAGGTCGCCCCGGAAGGGTCCCAGCGACGCGCGCGGGTCGTCCGCTGCGCGCAGCAAAGAGAGCTAGCTGGCTGGCTGGCTGATAGCGGGCAAGGCTCTTGCCGCCGACGACGGGCGAGGGAGGCGCGGAATTCCGACGGCCTCCGACGGAGGTGTACTGGGTGGGGGAGACGCGTGCGGACTCCGCCACGGCGACCTTCGGTGGAGCTCCCTATGGGGCCACGAAGCGCGTGAAGGGTGTGCAGAAATGGGTGTGCGGGACGAATGCGGGCACACCCACTCGGACCCTGGGTGGAGCTCCCTATGGTGCCACGAAGCGTGTGAGGGGTGTGCCGAAATGTGTGTGCGGGGCGCATGCGGGCACACCCACTGGGACCTTCGGTGGAGCTCCCTACGGGGCCCCGAAGCGTGTGAGGGGTGTGCCGAAACGGGTGTGCGGGACGCATGCGGGCACACCCACTGGGACCTTCGGTGGAGCTCCCAATGGGGCCACGAAGCGTGTGAGGGGTGTGCCGCAATGTGTGTGCGGGACGCATGCGGGCACACCCACTGGGACCTTCGGTGGAGCCCCCTATGGGGCCACGAAGCGTGTGAGGGGTGTGCCGAAATGGGTGTGCGGGACGCATGTGGGCACACCCACTGGGACCTTCGGTGGAGCTCCCAATGGGGCCACGAAGCGTGTGAGGGGTGTGCCGAAATGGGTGTGCGGGACGCATGGGGCACACCCACTGGGACCTTCGGTGGAGCTCCCAATGGGGCCACGAAACGTGTGAGGGGTGTGCCGAAATGGGTGCGGGACGCATGCGGGCACACCCGCTGGGACCTTCGGTGGAGCTCCCTATGGGGCCACGAAGCGTGTGAGGGGTGTGCCGAAATGGGTGTGCGGGACGCATGCGGGCACACCCACTGGGACCTTCGGTGGAGCCCCTATGGGGCCACGAAGCGTGTGAGGGGTGTGCCGAAATGGGTGTGCGGGACGCATGCGGGCACACCACGCCTTCGGTGGAGCTCCCTATGGGGCCACGAAGCGTGTGAGGGTGTGCCGCAATGTGTGTGTGTGTGTGTGTGTGTGTGTGTGTGTGCGGGACGCATGCGGTCACACCCACTGGGACCTTCGGTGGAGCCCCCTATGGGGCCACGAAGCGTGTGAGGGGTGTGCCGCAATGTGTGTGCGGGACGCATGCGGGCACACCCACTGGGACCTTCGGTGGAGCTCCCTATGGGGCCACGAAGCGTGTGAGGGGTGTGCCGAAATGGGTGATGACGATGATGATGGTGGGAGGAGGTGGAGGAGGAGGAGGAGGAGGAGGAGGAGGAGGAGGAGGAGGAGGAGGAGGAGGAGGAGGACGAGGAGAGGAGGAGGAGAGGAGAAGAGGAGAGGAGAAGAGGAGAGGAAAAGAGGAGGAGAGGAGGCGCGGGCCACCGTCTCTTCAAAACGAGGACCCAACACCACAGGATGGTTGGGAATAGTCCAAACATCGTCCAACAATAGCCTGGGGACCATTTTTTATACCTTTTTGGGGCATTTTGTTTTTTGTTTATTTGTCGTCGAAAATTCCCCTGTATGGGGACACGCCCGACATAACCCCCACCCATGTTTTTGGATGAGGGGCCTCGGCCCTGCCCCCTGGACCGCCGTTGCCCCCCCCCCCCCCCTCCTCCGAGTCTTGGGACGGCAGTGGTCTCGTCGTGCCTCGAGAAGGGGGGCCCCGCGTGCCTCGAACGGGGGCCGACTGGGGCTCGCGTGCCTCGAAGTGGGGCCCCCTGGTGATCCCTTTTGGCTGTCTTTGGGGATGCCCCAGGGGGAGCCGACACCCAGGACTGCAGGCTCCGCAGGGCAGGCCCTGCAACTGCCCGTCTTGCTTCTCTCTCTCCTCTCTCACCTTGGGGCCTCGCCTCTTAGGGCCCTCGGCGGGAGCCGGACGGATTGTGCCTCGAGGGGAGCTCCACGCCCTTGGATGGACCGTCAGGTTCTTCTTAGGCCCTCTAGCGTACAGGGCAGTTTTTCATACATAGGATTTTCTAAGCTATAGGAT